TCAGAAAAAAAAAAAAGTCCACACGCTAGCCAAAGACAAAACCTCTTACCAGGATCTCTCGTACGGATCGCATCCAGTGTAATCACTCATTCAACATTGTTTCTTTGTACAGGCGTTTTGCTTCTCGAGAACTCGCTGGATGACCCGGACGGCCTCCGATGTTATAAATCAACTTTGCGCTCTACAATTTGCGCCTGGCTTGGATGCTCCGAAAGCAATCCAAAGTAATCTAGAGCAAAAGTTTTTGTGGGGCCTGGAAATGGCAGCTTTTCCACGTAGCGCTAGCCCAGCTTCCAAACTCGATCGATGGGAGGGTTCTTTGAGCGGAAACTCTTCCCGCAGCGTTGGCGGCATTTCGTTGTCCATTAAACCTGATTCTCCCTTGTGGGGGTGTTGATGCCCCCCCCCCCCCACTACATTTTAACCAGTCGTCCACTTCTAGAAATGCCTCCCTTCAAATATATGCCCCCTTTTTCCCACCTCGGAGAAAATGGTTGGTGGTCGACTAACAGTGCCGAGGTGCAGGGTTCGATCCCTGCACCCCCCGTGCCTGCGTGGGTTTTCTCCGGGTACTCCGGTTTCCTCCCACGTTCCAAAAACATGCGCGGCAGGTTAATGAAACACTCTAAATTGTCCCTAAGTGTGAGTGTGAGCGCGGATGCTTGTTCGTCTCTGTGTGCCCTGCGATTGGCTGGCGACCGGTTCAGGGTGTCCCCCGCCTACTGACCGAAGGCGGCTGAGGATAAAGCAGATTAGAAAATGGATGAATGAAGCTCCTTCAAAACAAACTCAATGCCTGCTTCAAATAGACGCTGCCATGTGCCACGCGGTGTCTTTTCGCGCAAACGTGCGGTGGTGTCGACTGAAAGCGAGCGCAGCACAGGTGGGGGGGGGGGGGCGGCACGGAGTCTACAAGGAGAGCAGAGAGGAAGCGTAAACACTTTTCCGTATCCCAGCGAAGGGTTATTCACAACTGGAAAGAGAGCGGGTGCACAGCGGAGCCACGCGTCAGACGCGTCCAAACTTGCGTCATGTGGAGGTGGAGACGGAGGAGGAGGAGGAGGAGGATGCGGCCAACCTGAATCATCTGGTTCCATTCATGAGTGCCACACAGCGCGCCTGGCTCTCCAATTCCGGTATTGAAGTAAAAAACAAAAGTCCACAGACTGTTAGCGGTTAGTACTCACTTCGGTTTTGTTTGTTTGTTTTGGTTTGGTTTTTTGTTTGTTTGTTTGTTTCCTAAAGTGTCCACTGTTTGCTTTTCACAGAGGAGGTCTTGTTATTGAGATCGGTGCCCGGCGACATCTGCACCGGCAGACAGAACTCTCCAGATAAAATAGATCTCTTGGCAACCAGGTCGCCGTGGTAACCGGGGCGCCCATGTGATCCAATGCAATTTGCACCTCCTTTCCTCAAACAGAAAAGTGAACGTTTCATCCGGGTTTCCACCCAGCAGTGTTTGAAGTTTTGTTGTTGTTGTCGTCGTCGTCATAGGTCATAAGTACTTGTACATGTAACACAATGATTTGTCCTTCTCCAGAATTTTCACGACTCCATCTTAGCTACGTTTCTAAACTTATGTGTCAGTGTTCGGCAGTGTTTCTACACTCCATAAATTGGGCCTTTTTGCCCTATAGATCACATTATTATTGTATGCAGTATGTGCAGAGTCCTCCCTCACATCTATTATGAAGGAACCCCTTCGTTCCATTTATTTATTTCATACACGAGGAGCAGTCACGGGTCATTGTGACCCGTGTCATATTGCACAGATTTTGCCCTGTATGAGCAATTGGTGGATATTTTAATATATATTTTTTTTTTAACAAAATTGTCAGCAAATCAGAGAGGGGGCTTACTCGAGTAGAAGACGGGACGAAAGGGTCGAGGAGAACGTTGAGAAAAAAAAATTACGTTATACCCCCATAGGGTTTTTTTTTTTTTTTTTTACTTGATTTTCTATAGCCAATACCACACAATAACATTCCCCAAAAAGGCCATTTCTTCGACAACAACCTTCAGTCTTTAGATTGCCCTTTCTCAAGCATTCACAAGCATTTTGTTAATTTTTACCTCTGTTTATGGATTTATAGAACTCCCCCCCACCCCCCCAACACGTCCAAAACAAACTGTTGGACTTTCGCCAGGTTACTGAGTGGAGGGCTGCAACACGTCAAAGGTCAAATCAAAAGTGTGATCTTTGAAGAAGGGTGTAAACAGACTAGGATTGAACTACTTGCACCGTAGCGAAATTGATTAGAACCAGTCCATCACAAAAACAGATTTTTTTTTCCCCCGCTCTCTGTATAAACTCTGAAATTGGTGGCTTTTTGCACGCTGTGAAGAGGAACAATCATTTCACAGCGTGTCATCAAACCGTCCATTCGGATCAATCTGATGCTGTTTAGGAATGTTTAAAATCGAGTGTGTTTATACATCTGGAAATATTTCCTGTCATGTTAACAAACATTCTTAATTGTTGTGCTTTTATTTATTTATTTTTATAAATCATTCAAGCAAGTAGCCGTAGGGATTCAGTTACACCCTGTTCTGTGATGTCATCACTCTACAGCTCATGGTCCTACCGGGGCAAAGTTTGGTTGCGCTATTATTTCTCCGAGGCCAAACGAAACCACCTTGGAAAATACTCTTGGACTACGTTTTGGGGTTTTTTGTTTGTTTGTTTGTTTGTTTGTTTTTAATTGAGCTGACCTTATAAATTGCTTGGGATCGTCAAGGCAATAAATACTTTAGAAGCATAAGCAAACAGCAACAGAAACAACACTCTCTTTTCGCAGTCTGTCTGCTTTTTGGTCACACAGACATTATCAATCAGCTCCTTTTTTTTTTTTAGATCGCAAATTTTTTGTGTTTGCCGTTATTCGTTAAGATGAATTGCTAGCATGTGTGGATGTTTATCTTCCCCCCCACCACCCTCCTTGCCCGGCCTTGACAGGACAAGCCCAATGTCGCAACAACAGGGGGGAGCTGAGGAATATCCAGGACGGAGGCGAGGGCGTTTGAAAACCGAACCACCTGGGACTGACGTGAATCAAAAGAGCTCGGTAATCCCTAATCCTCTGTGCGTGCGTGTGTCATATAACATACACTGTATAAGGATTTGTATTGGAGGGGTATTTATTTATTTATTTGCGTCTCGAAAGTCTATATTAACGGCGCTTCACAAATATGATGAAGGGAACATCAAGCTTTTTGCGCTGCTTTAATGCGGATTCTTTCGGGTTTCCGTGAGCTCTCAAGTTTGAAATGGATTTTCCAACTGAATTCACCTTATATGATGCTTTGAGCTGGCAGGAAATTAATAAGAATTTATTGTCTATAATAGGTACTGTATGCACATATGTTTATAAATATGGATATATGTGTATACATACAGTATATTGGAATATTGTTGGTTTTTTTCAACGCCAAAAATTCTTGAAAAAAATGGGGATACACGTCCAATAAGTGTTTTCCACACAAAAAAAATTACAAATCATAATAATTATTATTTTAAAATTAACAAAGGAGTGAATCTGCGGGTGCCAAACCGTGACTATGCGGGGAATTAACTTTATTGTTAAAATGGGTCCGTTTGACCCATACAATAACAGGGAGTTAAATATATTACAGTGCAGTACATTTATACAGTTGTTCCATGTCTCACACACACACACACACACACACACACACACACACACACACACACACACACACACACACACCTCTCTTACCTAACCTCAATTTGACACACACAAAGTGAGAAACAAGAAAAACAGCATCATGTCGTCGCTCAAAAAGGTTGAGTGTCCCTCGTTTATTTTATACAAAAAAAAAAGTTTGTTCAATTACACAGCATGACGTCACGTCATCATCGTTACCCCTCCCTCGTTTCTTCTGTCATCTCGGCGCCCATCGGGACAGTCACCCACCAACCCCACCGAGGTGTCACAAACATCAGTGTCAGTTCTGTGGCCGGGCCGTTGGAGAACTGAACTTCACGCAGACACCCCAGCGTGCCACCCGGAACCCAACATCAACCGAATATAGAATCGTCATCGAGATTAGTGGTTCTCAAACTGGGGTCCCCGGACCCCCGGTGATCTGTAAGCTTGGAGTGGCTGCCAATTAATTAGCAATTGGATGTTGTTTAAACAAACAAAAAAAAAAATTTACACGCTTTTTGAAAGGACAACAGTGCCAAAAAAAACAAACAACAACAACATCATAAGAAACCAGTTCCTCCTCCCTAACCAGGCTTTGGGCTCATTAAAAGCTCAGCTTTGATTGTGACATAACACTTTGAAGCTGACATCCCATTATGAAAATGGCCATTTGTTTTTGTAAGTGTAAAAAAAAAAAAAGGGGGCATTGTTCCAGAAATAGTCATATTTTTCAAGAACAAAATAATCTTGTTTTTTATGAGCGAGTAAAGACTTCTTTTTCTGGGAAAAAGAAGTCTTACTAATGCGAGAATGACATTGTGTTATACTTGGGAATGTCAAAAATGTGACCGTCTTCTGTTCAGCTTTGACATTTGAATAAGCTGTGTGACTATCTTGGGGGGAAAAAATAAGATGACCATGACTGGTCTTGTTTAGATGAGATGAGAATTTTGTTAAAATATGACTTTCTTCACTTGTTCAGCTTTGACTGTGTGACTACGATCACATCTTGGACAAACACAATTTCATTCTCATAACACTGCAACTGTTTTTGTCCCTCAAAAAAAAGGGCTGGGGGGGGGGGGGCTATTTGTGATTTTTGTTCCCAAAATGGGCATCGTTTTTATTCACTCCTAAAACTGCTGGGTCAAAAATAACCCCATTTTGGGAAAAAAATTGAACACTACTTGGGTCACTTTGATCCAACTTTTTTGCTTGTTTTGTACAGTACATAACATTTTTTGTATGACATAACTCCAAAAATTGTGTTACATATA